AACTTCTTTGTTTCTTGAATGTTGCAAAATAGTGAGACTTCGACGGAATTATTTGAACCATTGACCTTCTCTTTCCCTTCTCTCTTAGGATATCTCTAAAAATGAATCCTCTTCGTCTGAGTACTTGAAATTGGTCAGTTTATTCCGGATTAAAAAATTCTGTAAGAGCACGAAAAGCCAAGAAGAGAAATCAAAGTAAAGGGAGAGAAGGAAGAAAGTCAAATCAAAGCTAGAACTACTGGTATTTTAATAGTTCAATTTTTCATAATCAGGGTTCAGGGTTAAAATTTTTTTGGTTTTCCGTAAAAATTCCGAAAGAATTGACTTTTCTCTTCAGGTAGTTTAATTTATCAGGATGTTATGACTTTTGGGACCATTACTAATCAACTGTATACCGAAAGACTTGTGTGTTGAATTATATGTTAATTTTTTTTGCTCAACCTTGAGGTCTAAAAATTTGTTCAGACTCGAGGCCCTGCAGTGAGCGTGCACGACAAACCACAATTCCTGCTGGCTTTTCTAAGCGTGTTAGGAGTTAAGCAGGTATGACTTCCAAAGTCACTTGGTTATAAGAAGTTGAAAAGTCGCACAATTAAATTTGACATTTAGTAGAATAATAGTAGAATAAATAGAGCTCGTCCTGGCGGATTCCGAAAGGCGAGGACTTGATATTTGGAGATTTTTAGGAATACAAAAAATGGGCCTTAGTAGCCTTTTCACGATGTGAAACCCGGCAACCCACGTATCCTGATCTTGAAAAAAGGAATTATTTCAGAACAGGAGCCACTGTAATTTTTTTCTTTTTTCATTCTCATTATTCACATCCTAGTGTGGAAGGTTGCTGCTGGAGGTCAGGAAACGTCCAGCTCCGAACTTTTTATACAGTCAAAAGCCATTTTCGAGCATATGGCTTTTTTCACATTTTCATGCCTATTCCGTAGACCCTTTTAGTATATCTTCTTTTGGATTTTGCTTTCCAAATTTTTCTTTCTTTGTGTGCCCTAATGATTTTTACTTTTATTCCTCCCCTTCGTTACACACTCTTATTGATGTGAAAGATCAATTATTTATACTATATCCTTTGAACAGCATGAATTAACTTTTGCATGAACAAATCCTATATTTTCTGAGTTTATTATTTGAATTATTTTTTGGCAAAATAAGAATTTTCAGGTAATGGTGGTGACGGCCTCAATGGCAGCTCAGTACGTCCTACCCCTTCTGACGCAGGACGTCTTTGTCTGCGTGGTTGGCATTGCGCCATCAAACACCCATGAGATCAGCCAGCCGTCTTTATATCGAACACCAATCCTCGTCCTATGGGGTAAGTTCCGAGAAGTCACATCGAAAATGGGAAAATATACATATTAGGAGGGTTTTTCTCAATTATTTACTTTTATTCATTTATCCACCTTTGCACTCGAGGTGTGACATCTCAAGCAAATAGGAAGGTTCACTAGAAGGCTGACATTGCGATGAAAAGCCAATCGTACCCAAATTTGCCCGCTAGGCGTCTCTCATCGGTGCTGACTGACGCTAACTGTTAGGCAGCTAGAATCAGACGGCGGGAGTGTGGGCGTGGCGTGCCATGCCGTTAGCGCCGCGGGGAAGGACTAGATCGGCGGAAGCGTACTCCTTCGTTGCCGAGCGCGCATCTTCCCGTATCGGAAACCGCCTGCCTTTTGATCAAGAATATTTCCCCATCTTCGACCTACCTTACCGTGGAATGCTTCTCTGAATGCAAATTCAAACGCTAACAAAACAAAAGTAAAAATAATTCAATTCCCCTA